CGAATATTTAAGTTTCGATTCGTGTTGATTCTATTCCTATTTATCATCATCCTACGGACCATGAATTTTGTAAATTGTCAAACTATTCCCGGTGAAGTTATTGCTAATCACAATTTGATCTAACTGACCTTGCCGCCGTCGTCCACTCCCTCACGACATGATCGCTGAGATGGATGTTCGTCAAACTCTCCATGAGTCGGAAGCCATCGGCGGCGATGGTGGTGGCATAGAGATGTAACTCATGAATACATTTCGGGATGTGCAATTTGAACAACGATGGGCTGATCTCGGCGGAGGTGCGCCACCAGCCTGGAGGAGAAGTTCTCTGTCGTTGCGTTGGCTGCATGCACATGGATGATCAGGTCCGTCGGCTTCGAGGAGTTCGAGACGATGATGATTGGTGCTGGCTATATCGGAGCGGGAGGAAGCCTGTCGCAACAGAAGAACAGTCCGCTAAGATTAGAATCTCTACCTGATCACTACTTTTTTGAAGCATTATGTAATAATTTCTCAAAGAAAGTCGTTGGCATACTATTTTTCTTCTTATTATGCAGTATTAACTGTTTGATGATTTGCAAAACTATGGTTGCGCGACTCATAAAAAACGTTCCCTGTTGCTCTGTGTATGGTTATGAATTGTATGAAGCTTTTATTTGGGACTTCTTTCGTAAAAAATTGCTGGGGAAAACGTGAAAGGGTATTCCAATTCAATTAGAAATCTACTGAAGTATGTCTAATGTAAAAGTAATGGAAATAAAGTTAGGAAAGTAACTTTTAAATATGTTGTTGTTGATCCTCTCTTTTATGTAGGTTTGTTTTTAAAGAAACTTCGTTTATTCTAATGTTATTGGTTTTACCGATAGAAGATAAAACACGTGATAGCATGTGTATGAACGATACGAAAATAATGAGCAAAAAGATAATATCAATTGTGATGGCAAATGATGGCACCATCGGTGGTCGGGTGGTCGACAACAACAATAGTGATCGTCTTGTCGATATCAATTTGAACATCAACGACAAAGAGGAAAATGCAAAGCGGTGAGACATTTGTGTCGATGCTGGAGGAGGAAGAAAAGGGAGGTAAGGCATCTACATCGACATCGCATTGCTCTGCCTCCTCTTCCTCTACCAGAGCCACTCTACATCTGTATCAACATCGAAGGAGGAAGAGGAGGCAGGTGAGAACTACGTCATTGACGACGATGAGAGAGGAGGAGGAGGCTAGTGAGGAGATAAATGAGGTAGAGAGGATACGACCGATCGATATTGAAACCCTAGCCAAAATGATGATTCCCAATCTTAAGGCTAACCGCAATACGGTGATCCATCGTTTCTTCGTCGTCTCGCTCATAGTATCCATTGTTACCATCTTTTCGACACTCTCCCCCACCACAACGGTACTAAAGGTAAGCAGGAAGGAGGATGAGGGTTTGTTGTCTCTCCCGTCATTGGATCTGTACTCTTCTAGTCTCCATTTTATGCAGCGATCAGTCCTTGTCATCCAATCAGATCCCCTCTGGTTGCAGATGAAGTTGATCTAGAAGTAGGTCAATGACCATGCTGTTGTGGCCAGGGCATACATGTCGTTCGCACATCGACGAAAGCTCGAGAGCTTGAAGTAGGTGTGCATCTTTGTCGAGCTTGTTCACAACCTCTCCCTTCTTCTCGTTGCCCACTATCCCTTCCTCGAAATTGTCATACCACTAGACGAAACGACCATCCTAGGATTAAAGTATGGCATCGAGGTAGATACAAAGCGACATCAAAGGAGGAAGATAAGGCAAAGTAGTGCAACGCCGATGCAGATGCCTCATCTCCCTCCACCTCCTCCGATGCTAATACAGATGCCTCACTACTTTACCTCTTTTCTTTGTCATCGATATTCAGATCGATATCGATAAGGCTAATCACCGTGTCATTAATCACCACCACAACAGCCACTCATGGTGCCACCATCCCCTACCATTATTGGAATTATTTTTTTGCCTTTCATTTTTTGTGTCATTTATGCATGTACTATCATGTGCTATATCTTCTATTGATAAAACCGACGATATTAGGATAAATGAGGTTAAATATTTCACTTTTATAACTATAGATATCTCAATGTAAAATTTTGAAATATAAAGATCGAGACACTAACTACAAATGGATAATATATAATTAGGTCATATTATTTAAATCTAAATCTTGTCGGTGGACGACTAAAGTAGAACTCTCGAAAATAATAATATTAAAAACAGAATGACAATCATTCATATAGAAAGTAAAACTACGGTACTTTCCGCTTAAGCTTAAAATTAATAGTAATTAAGAAATCATTTAAGATTGTTGCCTCAGACTTTCTTTAATAGAGAGGATATACAGTGATTTAAATATTTAGTTAAGGAAATATATAAAGAAAGTTACGAGTTATGAAAATTAATGATCATAATAGAAGGTTAAATGGATAACAATAAATCGTTTGGTTGGCTAAATAATACAAGAGTGAACGCTAATGCAAATATAAAGTAGGGACAAAACTCTCAATCCGTCATTGTGATAATGACCATTGCAAGAAAAAACGATAAAATGCAATTTTCAGACATCTATGGCAAGGGCTCCGTGATATAGTGAGTGATACGATAAAGCTCATATGGTAACTATTATACTATGTATGATATCAATTTTGTGTATGATTGAAAGAAGGTAGCTTCACATTGCATAGTTCATATGGTAACTATTATACTAAGTATAAATATGTTAATGCACTTTAGCCTCCTATATAATATAAGCACCGAGTAACTATTTTCAATAATTTTTTTATGTTTTAAATTTTATTTTAAACTTTTTTTAGTTTTGTTGAATTATTAGTATTATTTTTATGGAAACTAAGAAAATTTATTATTATTGTTATGGTTGTTGTTGTTGTTGTTATTATAATTATTAAGGTGAATTCTCGAAAAAAAAGTTTCTTTAAAAAAATAACACAATCATCATCATCATTATTATTATCATCATCATCATCATCTTCTTCTTCTTCTTCTTCTTCTTCTTCTTCTTCTTCTTCTTCTTCTTAAGAACATATAAAAATTTAATAGTTGCATCACATTTCAATTAAATAAAATTTTAAGGCTTACCATTTTTCCTTTAAAAAAAAAAACCTCTGGCCTTTAATAGTAAGGACTGTATTTATGGAATGCTTGATTCCAAGCCAATTAACAAATTTATATCCCTAAAACTTTTCTACTTTCACTATTTTCCTATCCCACTGAACCTGTACTGGTCCACCGGCAAATAATTCATTGCATTCTTGTAGAATCACCCTATGCTTGCTATTTACTGTTCATTCCCATGGTATCATCATGTACGCAACTGTAATATATATATATATATATATATATATATATATATATATAAGGTTATGAAAGGAATATTCCGATGGTATAATTGATTCTGTATATTTTACTTCTTTCCTCAAAGATTTCAAGCAAAAATATACGGTACATTTAATTAATTTATTTTCCTATATATATAATATAATATAATATAATATAATATAATATAATATATATAGTAGTAAATATTATCAAATTCCATGAATATGGACGCAATGTGACAGCGACTCCCTCATGATCTTCTTTCCTCCTCTTGAAACGAAGCCTACGACACGCTCGCTACATTTCTCTCTCACTCTAATGGCGAAACCACAGAAGCCGTCATCCTCTCGTTCGCACTCGCGGTCGTCCTCCTTCAGCTTCCTCCGGATGGAAGAGCTGGAGAAAATCTTCGCTCGCTTCGATGTAGATGGCGATGGCAGGATCTCCACCGCCGACCTGTCCGGCTTCATCCGTGCCCTCGGATCAGACGCCTCACCCGACGAGATCCGCGACATGATCGCCGAGATGGATGCCGACCGCGATGGCTTCGTCGATCTCCAAGAGTTCGCTGCAGTCTGCCATGGCGGGGGCGGTGGTGTCACAGAGGAGGAGCTCAAGGATGCGTTCTCGGTGTACGATCTGAACAACGATGGGCGGATCACGGTGAAGGAGCTCCACCAGGTGTTGAACGGCTTAGGGGAGAAGTGCACCATGAAGGAGTGCATACAGATGATCGGAGCCGTCGACTCGGACGGCGATGGATGCGTCAGCTTCGAGGAGTTCAAAATGATGATGACCGGCAGTGCTCAGACAACGCGACTGCAAGCCAAGAAATAAGGGTACAACAAATGTGATTAATTTTCACGAATGTTTTCGATGTTTATTATGATAAATTATTAGCTAGCTTTTTTAATCTATCTATCTATCTATCGTCTCCAATATTCCTCTCTCTCTCTCTCTCTCTCTCTCTATCTATCTATCTATTCCACGAAACTTGATATTATCACCACACTTTATATTATAATATATATAAATAGCCCTTGATGGATACAAATGCCTTGTAAGAAATAAATATTAAAAATAAATATCAATAAATATAATATGCTGGTCAAATATCATATATATAATCAGTCACAATGTTGTGGCTCAAAAGGGTCTCGACTCGAAGATATAACCAATGACTGCAATCTCAATCAAAGTGTTAAAAAAGAATTCATCGTAATCTAAAATAGTTTTCGAGGAATATCTCCAAAGGAGGGCCCAACTTGACACCCCTAATGCCATTTAGATATGATAGAAAAGTGAGTTTTCCAATTAATTAATGAGATCATTTGACAGTCACCATACAGGAATGATGGTTGTAGAAAAATATAATAATTACTATACTTCCAAATTAGCTAAAGAGACTAACAATAACATCTCTAACCAAAACTTTGTTTGGTCAAGATTCCAATACGTGGAAATGAAAGAAGATACGAGGAGAGTACGAGAAAAGAGTACAAACATGACATAGAGATTGATAGAAGATTGATTTATTAAACAAGTCTAAAAAGAAAAAAGAACAATGGATAGAGAAATTAAAAACAAAAAAAAAACTCAAAACGAAAATCAAAGAAAAAAAAAAAGAGAATAAAGTTTTGTTTATAATTTACCAAGTACTTGATGATATAATAATCATCAAAAGATGTTTTAGAAACACTTCAATGCTTCCATTCTAAATTTGAAACAAATTCCTCCTCTGTTTCGATCATTTCACGAGGAAAGTCGATGAAGCACATAATTGTTGATCATTTCACGAGGAAAGTCGATGAAGCACATAATTGTTGAATGGATCAACAACATGAGATCTGAGCTCTCTCTATAAGGGCTGATGAGTTTCAACGGATGTAACAATATAAGATCGAAGGATGTCGTTGAATGATGAGATCTGTGATGATCGTCGAAGAACGTCCATCAACCGTGAAGAAACGATCGAGTCAGCACAAGTATACAGGAGACGTGTGCTGACGCGAATCCCCTTCTTACGTCATGTCCCCACGAGAGGATAAGGAGAGACCGCCAAAACCGCTACAGAAGCCATGACGAGTAGTATCGTTATTGCTTGCAGCTCATGTTTCAACCGCTGCTAATCTTCGATCCACCATCATACCGTTTCGCCGTGGAGACCGTTTTCTTGTCCCTTCCTCTTGTCGGTACCATCTGCTCTCCGCTCTCTCTCCGCTCTCCCTCCGTTCTCGATCTCACGTAACCTGCACAATTAGCTCAATGCTTTGGACTTACCAAAGACGCGTGGTAAAGGTCCTGCAACTTCCAGACACGTGTTGGTGATGGAGCGCAGCAGGTCAGTCACGCTACGCGCTGACAAGCCTGACACACTTCCCATAGACATCACTCTGCTGCCGCTGCTGCGGCATTCACTGCTTTCTCTTTCTTTGCTGTGACCATGATGGAGACCACTCCAGAGGCTATGAGACAACTCCATCGGAAAATGATACGGCTTCCTCGGCATCCAAAGATGTTGCACTGCATCCATCAAATCGCATGGAGAGGATGATGACAACGTCCGTTGAGTCGGACACAACATTTGGAATCCAGGTTTTCATTTTATATATGTACCCACGATCATCTATTATTTATTACTCATCATCCGACGGCTATTAGGCCGCGTCGGATCCAGAAGCCGAGTCCGAGACCGAGTCGAACGAGTCATGAGAGGACGAGACGTCTCCGCCGCCCCCGCCGCCGCCACGGATGTCCTCGATCATCTTCAACACGTTGCTCATCTTTGGTCGCTGGTCAGGGACGATCGCGCTGCAGCTCATGGCGATCTGGAGCATTGCCACCATATCCTCCTCGATCCCCTTGTACCGCATCAGCTCCAGGTCGAACACCTCCGCCGTCCACTCTTCGCGCACCACCGACTGCACCCACCGCGGTAGGTCGACCGCCGACGCCCCGCCGTTCGCAGCCGGCTTCCCTGTCAGCAGCTCCAGCAGCACCACCCCGAAGGCGTACACGTCCGCCCGCTGCGACGCCCATGGTCGTCGCCCGTCGACAGGTGCCTCGGGTGACCGGTAACAGTTGGCCCTCCCGGCCGCCGCGGCGCCCGTTCCCAGGAGGGCCAGCCCGGCGTCGGCGAGCAGTGCATTGCCCTCCTTGTCGAGAAGGATGTTGGTGGACTTGATGTTGCCGTGCGTCAGCTTCGGCGAGCGGCTCGCCTGGTGGATGAACGCCAATCCCCTCGCCGCCCCAGACGCGATCCGCATTCTCGTCGTCCAGTCCAGTGGCGTCCTCCCCGGCCCTCGGTTCCCTAAAAAGAACGATCTTTTAACGCATCGTCGAAGAAAACCAGATTTTTAAGACGACGCACGGAGGTTACAGACCATGGAGGAGGAAGAAGAGGCTGCCATTGGGCATGTAGTCGTATACGAGAAGCTTCTCGTCGCGGGCGTAGTAGTATGCTTTGAGTGAGACAAGGTTGGGGTGCCGCAAGCGCCCGAGTGTCTCCATCTGGCTCTCGAACTCGCGCTTGCCCCCGAGGTGGACCTCGCGGAGGCGATTGACGGCGACCACGGTGCCGTCATCGAGCACCGCCCTGTAGGCCGTCCCATAACCGCCCTTCCCCAGCATCTCCGCCGAGGCCCGGAGGAGGTCCTCCAGTTCGAACCGCTTCGTTCCTTCGAAGAACACCATCTTTCCCCTCTCGAATCCGCCCCCGGTGGTGGCGCCCGCTGCGCTGCCCTGGACGGCGTAGGGACCGGAGGAATAGACTATCTTTTCCCCCTCGTGGAGGCGGGATGGGCTCCTTCCGGCGAACTTGCGCCAGAAGCAGCAGAAGAGGAGGCCGGAGACGAGGACGAGCACGGCCGAGTCGCCTACGACGATGGTCGCCACGGCCACCCTGTTCATACCTCCGCGACCAGCGTCGGCGGCGGCATGGTGAGGAGGAGCGACCTCGGGCTTGGCGGACGGGGAGGAGGCTACGACCGTGGCGGCTGAGGGGACGGGGGTCGCTGCGCTCGCCGAGGGGCGGCTGGGATTGCTGACCACGTCGCGGCAGGTGGAAAGGGGCCCTCCACAGAGGGCTGGGTTCCCGGCGAATGCGGCGGCGGGGAAGGCAGCGAGCGACGGCGGCACGGCTCCGGAGAGCAGATTCGACGACAGGTTGAGGTCTTGGAGGCGGGGTAGCACGAGGCCGGAGATGGGACCGGACAGCCGGTTTGAGTCGAGCCGGAGGGTGAGCAGGCGGGACAACCGGTTCAGCGAGGCCGGTACCGAGCCGGTGAGGTTGTTGGAGCCGAGGTCGAGTCGGTAGAGGCGAGTGAGCGAGGCGACGGACGGGGGAATGGGTCCGGAGAGCTCGTTGTGGGCGAGGAAAAGAAGCTTGAGGGCGGAGAGCGGCGAGAGGTCGGGGATGGGCCCAGAGAGGCGGTTCGACTTAAGGCTGAGAACCCGGAGCTGGTCGAGACGGGTGAGGGCCGGGAGGCCGGCAGGGCCGGGGAGGTCGAGGTCTTCAAGGACAAGCCGAGTGATCCGGCCCCTGGCACAGGTGACCCCGTGCCAGGACACGCACGGCGAGGGGTCGGACCGGTTCCAACTCGCCAGCCTCCCGCCCGAGTCGCACGCGGCCTTGAACTCCAGCAGAGCACTGAGGTCCCCTTCCAAAGCAGCAGTAGTAGAAGAAGACACCACCGAAGAAAAGTTACAGTACACAAGCAGTAGCAATAGCAGCAGCAGAGTGGCTGGAGTTAAACGCGGGGTAGAACGCAGCCCATTCTCCTCCATTTCCTTCGTCTTAGAGGAGGACGGGGAAGGGGAAGGGGAAGGGGAAGACTGAGGAAGACAGAGAGCTGAGAAAAGCCAAGGTTTTAGTTAATACAGGCAATGCTTCTTTTGTGCCGAGGACTGGGGAGTGTCTCTCTAAGCTTTCACGTCACTTTTTTGCGTTTCCTTTGTTTTGAACGGGTGAAATGAGGAAAGGGGACCTACGCTACTTTGGGAGGTGTGCTTTTGTAGTCATAGAGTGAAGCCGTTGCCTCGGTCATGTTTATTTACTTCCTCCTCCATATAACTTTATGGTCAAAAGAATCGTGGATAATGAAAGAAATGGGATTAAAGAAATGGAAGAGGGATAGGGATTTGTTCCTCCCAACATTATCGCAACAGTAGTGCCAAGAGAGAGGCTCGCTCGCTCTCTCTCTCTCTCTCTCTCTCTCTCTGCGCAGCTGGCTTTGAGCCTTGTGCTCCTCCTAAGATCTGTTGACTTGCAAGTTGAAGAGTATTAATCTACTGGATCAGTGATTTTGATGTATTGCTGCACGTGACAGGGCAATCCATTTCCCTAAAGAAACAACAACCAAGGCCATCAAATTGTTCCCGTTGCAGCAAAGGAACAGGTGAAAAGTATGCAAGTTGGTGTACTCGAAAGAAACAGTAGTTGACTCTTTAGGATTCTACCAAAAAGTCAATGCATACATATGCTGATAATTTCACAATTTACTTTTGTCAAGATCTAAGAGAACAGCAATGCTTTTAGAGAGAGCAACTTGAGTTCCCACCCTGGTCTCTTAACATAGAGATAATTCCTTGCCTAATGTAGAACTACTTACGAGGCCGCCTGCGCCTCCTGATGGTGGTCAATTATCTTCAGATCATCCTCCTGTTGGTGGTGCCAAATATTTAACCCAATTAATTCTTTAGGTTGGAATTTACCCAAAGAAGATTACCCAACATTAAAATTTATTTGATAATTATTCTTGTTCATGTGGAACCCATATGAACAAATTCATCATATATCCAAATCCAATTACCAAACGTATTGCATTCCAAGTAAAACATCCCTGCTGCAAGTGGCTTGCAGACAATCAAATTATTTTCCAGCAAAATGATAGCAATCGACTTATCCCTCAAAATGAATTGATAGAGTCTAATCAATTTCCCAGGACGCTACTTGACTGACACCCAATCAACATTGGCACGGTCGCAAACTGGTTGATTAGGAGACTTTAGGGCATAAAGCCATGACAAGCATTATAAATGTGTAGGCATTGCACTTAGGTTGTCAGAGAAAAAAAAATTTACGGAGCACTTTCCATTTACTAGCTTGTATTACTACAATTTATCAGCGAGAAAAGAACAAGCACATCTATACAAATTTCCATTGGCAAACTCAGACGCAGGTTCACCAACACAATCCTTTCTCTGCGTTACATGATCAAGAATGTGATGGGCAAAAAATTTACTACATAAGCCCAAGTATGGCTATAACTACAAAGAGAATTTACAATGACAATGCAAATTCTAGATTTAAGGCAAGAGGCTTTTTGTTAAGCTGGTGCGGTGAAGCCTACATTAGAGAAGGCAAGGAAGCAATCTGTACCTGGCCTTTAGGTCACTGAAATGAGCTCCAAATGAGAATGAAAAAAAGCATAGGTAGTATTCCTCATCTTTCACTACCTGCAAATCTACAGAATGAAGCAAAATTAGGCAAAGCAAATAAGAAATTTTTTCTATGCCACATTGAACCCATAAGGTAGCAACTAGCATAAAAACAGTTCATTTTAGCTTACATATTGAACTTGTAATCAGTTATTGTGACAAATGATTATCATGTTGTCATTGAATTGCCTATCCTTTGCATTTTTGTTCCACTTCCTTGCCTCATGATAACACTTCGACTTGCCTAGACCATTCACCTGAAAATATCCTCTAAGCAAGTTTTAAAGAATTTGTAGGCTCTTTGCCATATGAACCTCATGTTGACTATCCAAAATCTAGAGATCCTATCTCAACTTCATTAACCTTCTCATGCACCTGACGAGACCAATGTGTTTAAACACTTGGTCTTAGTAATAAAAGAGATTATGTGATTGGTTTATAGAACTAGCCATAACAACAAAGCTGGAGAAAATTCTGACAACAGGCTAGAAGCCATACAATGATGTGGAAAAGGTGAGGCATGGCAAAATTTAAGCACATAAAAGTTTGGGCCGAATATCATTGATTTATACTCTGCTCCATTTTCATTCAAGTGGGCTCCGTTGTGTCACGGACTTCTCGGACTTGTAAAAGTCCCATGCGATGATGTGGATAAGTCGCGAAGCACCCATGCACCAACTTCTTGAATATCATTTGACGCGCCCTTGCGATATGCGTCCGCAAAGGTCAGCCAATTTGTAACCTCACTTAGGTCTAGAAGGACTTGTAAAAGAGAAAATTGATTAGCTCGAAGAACGAGCGACAGACAAGTCCCGACGTCTCGCGAAGAGGAAAGCTTTACAAGCAATTCAACGAGCACCTTGCGTGCATGAGAGAAAACAGATAAAGGAGGAAAACAAGGACTTTAGAAGGTTGAATGAACAGCAACAAGTCCACAAACAGCTGCTCACCGGGTGCCGGACGCGAAGGCAAGTTCCCGTCAAGAAAACGTGCGAACTTGTGAAGATTGTTCAACGCCCAACAATATACCGAAGCCCCATCCAGCCCTGTGCCACCCGGGGGGTTCCAAGGTGCTGAGATGGCTGACATTTCGCGCGCTGCAACGGGCTACAGAAAATAGCCCGCGACACGCGAAAACAGAGCCATTTTGGGGCTTTTTGGCCCGGCGCGGTGAGCGGTCGCACTATGCACTGCAACCTGTTCGAACATGTATTTTTACAAGCAAAAACACACAAAACCAAGGCAAAACAGGCTGCCATGTCTCTGTTCAAGCATGCAAAAGCGACGAACAGTTCGTTGAACGAAGTTGTTACGAGTGCGCGATGACCGTTCGTGACATTCTCTCCCACTTAAACTGTCGACGCCCTCGTCGACGCTTGTTGGTAGTTGTTGATGATTGTTTCTTCATGTCGCAGGGCATCTTCGGGCTCCCAACCGGTTTCAGTTCGGGGAAGCTTTCGCCACTTCTCCAAGTACTCAGTCTGCTCAACTCCATTGGGTAACTTTATCTTGCGATCCGTCAGAATGGTTTCAACTCGCTTCTCGTAGGAGGCTCTAGTGGGGGGTAACCGAGTTGAAACACTTCGGGAAGCATCTTGTGGATCTGAGTGGTAGGCTTTCAAGTTGTTGGCATGAAAAACATTTTGAATTTTAAGCCACGCCAGCAGCTGCAACCTGTAGGAGACGTTGCCCACCCTACTAATAATTGGGAAGGGCCCTTCATACTTGCGCACCAATCCTAAAGAATTGGAGTGATGCTGGTTGGAACTTCACCAACACCAAATCGCCGACGTTGAACTCTTGCGGTCGCCTTCCCAAGTCGGCCCACTTCATCTTTTTGACCGCCTTCTCCAAGTAAGCCTACGCAATATCTGCATTTCGATGCCATTCTTTGGCAAAGTGATATGCTGACGGACTACTCCTAGTGTATCCGATAGCCAAGGTGTGAGGAGTCGACGGTTGTTGTCCTGTAATGATCTCGAAGGGGCTCTTGTTGGACGTAGAGCTCTGCTGCAAGTTGTAGGAGAATTGGGCTATGTCCAATAGCTTCACCCAATCTCGTTGGTTGGCACTCATATAGTGCCGAAGATATTGCTCCAGGAGTGAGTTTATCCTTTCGGTTTCGCCATCTGTCTAGAGGTGGAGGCTTGTGGAGAAGTATAACTTAGACCCCAACAATTTGAATAGCTCGGTCTAAAATCATCCCAGGAACCGAGCGTCTCGATCACTGATAATATTATGCGGGACTCCCCAATACTTCACCACATTCTTCATCATCGGATTGGCTGCCTCCTTTGCTGAACAGTGTAGGGGTGCAGCAATGAAAGTTGCAAACTTTGAAAATCGATCGACCACTATGAGTATCGATCTCAGTCCCCCTACTGTCGACAAGCTTGATATGAAGTCCAAGGAAATGCTCTCCCACGACCTTTCTTGTACGAGCAACGACTCCAAAAACCCCACCGGCTTCCGCTGCTCCACCTTATCTTGTTGGCAAGTGAAGCACGTTCGAACATACTCCTCCACATCAGTCCCCATCTTCGGCCAGTAGAAGGCCCTCTCCACGAGAGCCAAGGTTCTATGAATGCTCGAATGTCTAGCCCAAAGGGAATCGTGACACTCTCTTAAGAGTTTACGCCTCAAATTGTCCACTCGAAGAAAATAAACCCTATTCCCTTTTGTGAAAACGAGTCCCTCCTGGACCCAAAATCGTCGTGTCTTGCCTTCTTTGATGAGCTGCATTAGAGTTACTGCCTGGGGATCACTATACAGTCCATCCCCGATCCTGGAAAGAAAGTTGGAGTGCAATTGACTTGCTTGGCCTCTACCCTCCAACTGTATGGCGTTCACTCGCTCCACCTTCCGGCTCAATGCATCGACCTCGACATTTGCTTTTCCGGGCTTGTACTCCATTGTCATATCAAACTCAGCTAGGAAGTCCTGCCATCGTGCTTGCTTTGGGGAGAGTTTCTTCTGAGTTTGAAAATAGCTCAAAGCGATGTTGTCTGTCCTCAGCACAAATCGCGATCCAAGAAGGTAGTGCCGCCAAACTCGTAGACAGTGGACCACCGCTGTCATCTCCTCGTGCACCGGATACCGCCGCTCGGTCTCGTTGAGCTTACGGCTCTCGTAGGCCACTGGATGACCCTCCTGCATGAGTACTCCCCCAATAGCGAAGTCTGAAGCATCTGTATGGATTTCGAAAGGCTCCCCATAGTCCGGCAATTTGAGCACCGATTCTTCCAACACAACAGCCTTCAAATCTAGGAATGCAGCTTCTTCACATTTGTCAGACCACCTCCAAGGCTGCTCCTTCAGTAACTCCGTCAGTGGAGTTATAAGCTTCGAATACCCCCCTATGAAGTGTTGATAGTAGTTGACGAAACCAAGGAAAGATCTCAACTTTGGCACCTTCTTTGGGGTTCGCCATTCCGCAACTACTTGCACCTTTGATTGGTCCATCCGAATGGAACCATCACTGATTCGATGCCCCAAAAACAAGATCTTCGTTTGAGCAAAATAGCACTTCTCCCTCTTTACCAACAAAGTGTTCTCCCTGAGAACCTTAAAAATTATCCGAAGGTGTTCGATATGCTCCTCGAGCGTTTGGCTGTAGACAATATCGTCCAAGTAGACAACCACGAACTTATCCAAATACTCTTTGAATAGTTGGTTCATAAGAGTACAGTACGTGGCTGGAGCGTTGGTTAAGCTGAAAGGCATCACTAAGAACTCAAACGCTCCATACTTGATCACGTAGGTAGTCTTGGCTTCGTCGCCTTCAGCAATGCGCACCTGCCAGTACCCCAACTGGAGGTCAAGTTTAGAGAATACTTGGCTTTGCCCAATTGGTCGAACAAGTCCGCGATGAGCGGGATAGGATACTTGTTCTTCATCGTCACTTTGTTGAGGGCTCGATAATCGTCGCATAGTCGAAGGCTCCTATCTTGTTTCTTTTGGAAGAGAACTGGAGCTCCGAAGGGTGCTTTAGAACTGTGGATGAGACCACCCTTAGCAGTTCACTTAACTGCTTTCTGAGCTCTTCCAACTCTAGAGGGGGCATGCGGTAGGGTGGTCTCGCTGGAGGCTTCACTCCTGGCTCCAGCTCGATGTGATAATCCATGCCTCTGAGTGGCGGTAGAGTCTTCGGCTACTCAAGTGGCATAACATCTGTGAACTCCTTCAGGACATTCGCCACCACAACAGGTTCATGAATGGCCTTCTCGTCGAGTGGCTCTAGCCTCATAGCAGCCACGAATGTTAATTCGCCTTTTCGTACCCCTTTCTTCAATTGTAATGTCGATATCTGTTGGGGTTCCCTGGTTCCTCTCTAAGAGACGGGAACCACACTAGGGTCCTCACCTCCCATCATACATAAAGAGTTTAGGAACGACATTAGCACCAACTTCGCCGCGTGCATGAATTCCATTCCAAGAATCACTTAGAAGTCGTCCATTGGCACCGCCATCATGTTTGTGCTCCCGTTCCATGTTCCGATCTTGATAGGAACTCCCTTTGCCAATCCGGAGATTCGCTTGGCCTCCGAGTTCACCGCCTTCATTCGACTTGGGTTCTTCTTCAAGATCAGCCCAAGTCGCTTTGCTTCTCGATCGGCAATAAAGTTGTGGGTAGCTCCGGTGTCCACCATTGCACGGGTTGTTTGGCCATTGAGCTTAATGTCCACGTACATCAACTCGTTACTCCCTGGTTTCAATGGCTTTGCCTTTATGTTCTCCCCCACTTAACCCCGCAATGCATTTAACAAACGTATTGCTCCCATTCAGGGACCCTGCAACTCCTCATCGTCGCTGCTAGATTCTGAACTGCTTGAACTAAGGGCAACAGCTTTGCCCTTATTTGATTTGAGGGGATGGATGGAAGCTGTTAAAGCATTGAGTGTCTGTTTCTGTGGGCACTCCCCCACCATGTGCGGCCCTCCGCACAAGAAGCATTCGCCAAGTTTCGAGGCCTTGCCTTTTGAGCTTGGCCCTTTGTGGGAACTCTTCTTCCTCTGTTCGCCTCCGGGCTCCTTCTCTCGAGAATATTTTGGAGGGCGATTTCCTGAAGATTGTTTCCTTTTTCCCAGGTCCTCAGAGGAAACAAAGTCGGTGAGTCTTTCTATGGCATCAATTGCCCAGATCACATCGGTGAGATTCCTTCGATGCAGTTCTTGTTGAGCCCATGGCTTCAAACTATCGAGGAAGCTGAATAGCTTATCTTTCTCAAGCATGTCCTATATATCCAGCATTAGCGTAGAAAATTGCTTCACGTAATCTCGGATGGAAGTACTTTGGCGGAGTTGTCTCAACTTCCTCCCTACGACGAACTCTGTGTTCTCAGGTAAAAACTGAGTTCTTAACTCGCGCTTTAAGCCCTCCCATGTGTCCACCCAACACCAACCTTGTTGGATCTCCTCTCAACCGGTTCGCCACCAAAGTTTTGCATCCTCGTTCAAATACATGGTTGCTATCGAAACTTTGGTTTCTTTAGAATCAAGCCTCGTAGCTCGAAAGTATTGTTCCGTGTCGAACAGGAAATTCTTGAGCTCTTTAACATCTCAAGCACCTCCGTAACAATGCGGCTCGGTTGCCCTCAAGTTCTGTGGCGACGCAACGCGGGTGTTGCTTCCTTCCGCATTCAGTGCCCTTGTGAGCATGGTCACCCTGGAAGTGAGTTCTGCCACAACTTCCTGCAGATGTTGCACGGAGTCTTTGGTGTCGTCCGACAGTCGATCGACTAGGGCCTCGACCTTGTCAATTCGAGATTCAGCTTCTTCTTGCGAGCTCTCTACCCCAAGAAGCCTTCGCTGGCCTTGGTAGAGTTCCTCCAAGCTCACTTCAAGAACATCCAAACGGGTTATCGCTGTTGTGAGTCTCTCCTTATAGCTCTTCTTCCCGGTTGGCGCTCCAGATTGCGCCTCCTCTGCTCGTGGAGAGTAGCCAATTTCTCGCTCATCATGTTCGCTGCCACGATTCTCCAAAACCGCTCCAACGACATGAGAGCGAGTTTGCACTTGCAGCCCACCTGCGACTGCTTGGTGCAAAGGTCCGGCTTGCCCCACCTTGCTTGATTCAACACGACGCTTTGCCATGACGAACTTGCGAAGTTCCTTCGCTGTTTGCTCAAATTGCTTGCCCGCTCTGATACCACAATGTCACGGACTTAGCTAGAATTGCCTAAGTCGTGAGGCACTCTTGCGGCCAAGACAAGAACTTAGCTTGCTTTGCCTAACTCGCGAAGCACCCTTGCGCCAACTTCTCAAACTTAGCTGCGATTGCCTAAGTCTCGACGTGCCCTTGCGATATGCGTCCGCAAAGGTCAACCAATTTGCAACCTCACTCGGGTCCCGAAGGACCTGTAAAAGAGAAAGTTGATTAGTTCAAAGAACGAGCGACGAACAAGTCTCGACGTCTCGCGAAGAGGGAAGTTTTACAAGCAATTCAGCGAGCACCTTGCGTGCATGAGAGAAAACAGAGAAAGAAGGAAAACAAGGACTTTAGAAGGTTGAATGAACAGCTGCAAGTCCACAAACAGCTGCTCACCGAGTGCCAGGTGCGAAGGCAAGTTCCCGTCAAGAAAACGTGCGAACTTGTGAAGATTGTTCAACGCCCGACAATATACCGAAGCCCCATCTAGCCCTGTGCCACCCGGGGTGTTCCAAGGTGCTGAGATGACTGACATTTCGCGCGCTGCAGTAGGCTGCAAAAAACAGCCTGCAGCACGTGAAAACAGAGCCATTTTGGGGCTTTTTGGCTCGGCGCGGTGAGCGATCGCACTGTGCACTGCAACCTATTCGAACATGTATTTTTACAAGTAAAAACACACAAAACCAAGGCAAAACAAGCTGCCATGTCTCTGTTCAAGCATGAAAAAGCGACGAACGATTCGTTGAACGAAGTTGTTGCGCGTGCGCGATGACCGTTCGTGACAATTGCCTACCCCAAGTGCTTTCAAGAATGTGAATGACCAACAACAATGAATTGATTTCTGAATGACCAACAAGAGTGACCAAAAACACTAGCACGCAGACGCATGAAATGCATGAACAAGCAAGATTCTTACTACGTCTGGTTGTATACCACAGGAGGATAAAGGAAAAAAATCAATGGGGAGACTTCCATGAGCAGAATCTCTAACAAAAGCATCTATAATAAATGTTATTATAGCTGTCATGAGTTCTCACAGAACTATGATATGCAACCAAAAGTATGTCTTGTTCTAAAATTAAACCAAAAGCCTGGAGAAGCCAAAAGACCTTTCCACGTGTATTATGTTTTCTGATCATTTGAGTTCCTTACTCCTATTAGTTGATGAAATATATTAAAGTGTCCAATGAATTTAATGTATTTTGCTAATCTAACATTCCCATCATCTGATATATGGTTCCAACACCAATTTTGAGCGGATTGAATTGATTGTAACAAGTATGGACTTCCTATATGCTTTGATTTCAAACATCAAGATAGCTAATGAAATAACGTGACAATGTATCGTGGTATCCATATTTACCTGTACACTAGTGTTACAAAGAAGTTGGGAACTGCCTTGGAAATGGCTGGTCCAAGTACTATTCTTGAATTACCCTGGTCCCCTGCTTGAAGGTCATGCATACAAATCACTTTGAACCATTTGTTGGCTCTGATGCTGAGAATGTTGCTGCTCCTGCTGATGATGAGGCTGCTGTTGCTGCTGATGCTGCCACTGTCCCCCGCTTTTATGCCCATGCTCAGACACGCCAGCTGACAATTGCTGTGGTGGTACCAGGCCCTGGCCAGAGGAGGGCACTAAAGCTTCACTTCCCACTAAATTTTCCTGTGGTGAGCTAGCCACATGAGCTATCGTTGTTGGTGCATTCTTATCATATAATGGCTCTGGATTCCACAGGGTGGAAGATGAAACCGCAGAAGCAGAAGTGCCTGAATCAGTACACTGAGGAATTGATGCACTCGGAACTATCTGATTGATTTGGCTCTGATCAGTTGATGATTGCATCCTACCACTGGGATTTATCTGCCGGCTTTGCTGCAGCGCTGTTCTTTGAATGCTTTGATGAGACTGATTCAGATAATGTTGCTGTGGTTGCTGATGTTGTTTAGGCAAAGGCATCGAAGATGGAATTGAGGCTTGCTGAGAAGCTAAGATGTTATGGCTGGGAGAACTCGGAGCTGAGCCTTGATTGCAGGTATCAGACATTGACGACGATTGCTTTGTTGATTGTGGCAGTGGATGAGTGTAGATATTTGTTTGGCTTCCAGATTGATGCCAACTTGGGTTCAGACATGGGCTACCAGGAAAAACACCTTGGCCCTGATGCATCAGATGTTTATCAGAAACTCTGTTCTTAGAAGCTGTTGAAAAGCCACTAATTTGGGAGGCATCTGCTGATATGTTATGATGATTTAACATGTTCCCTCTGCCCAAATCTTTCATAAGTTTGGCCTGCTGCTGTGTATGTTGTCTTTGCTGCTGTTGTTGCCTTGGCTGATGTTGTTGAACCTGCCGTTGTCTTTGCTTCATAATCTGATTTGAAATTCCAGATGGTGGGTTCCTCAACAAATTTTGCTGCTTATGTTGACCTTGTGAAGAAGATACTGGAGTCACAGGAGAACATGACTGGGATTGCGGTTGCATCTGTGAATTATTTTGAACTGGTGTCACTGCATTTGGTCCATTGATATGCTGGGATTGAGGCGTTATCCTATGTTGCAGTTGTCTCTCTTTAGCAACTCGCATGGCATATGCCTGCTGCTGTGGACTGGAGTGGCTTGTGCTTTGGATGTGATGGTGAGGGTTTCCAAGCATATGTTGTTGTTGCACCATTTGATGAGACTGTTGGTGTTGTTGAATTGAAAATGTTGGAACAGATGCAGGAAGCGTCACATTAGAAAAGGAGGCACTCATTCCACTGAAAGGAGAAATAGACTGCCCATTCGCTTGTGAGACTTGCAGCTGAAGTTCTGGCATCATCATCTGCCTATGTTCCTCCGCAATTTGACCAGGCTACACAAAATAATAGAATTCAGTTGTCAGAAGTCACCACGATGAAAATGATATTCTGTAATATCAAGCATGTTAAAGTTTTAACCACAAGTTGTCGTATCACCGCCTTTTGAAATGTTCAATTTCATCGCTATTATCTTGAGGATTAACATGATGATTGTACATTTTTTGCCTATTTATAATTGTTATACATTATTCCAAATTAGATCAAGGTTTCAAGCTAAAAGGTATGGGATGAATTTGGTCCAATGATGATACTTTTCACATTGATTAAGTAAAAGCTTGTCTTAAAAATTTTGATTACCAGACTCGTACCAGTCCCTAGGCAGACTGGTAGCATTGGCATGGCAACACAGTATATCATCATCAGCACCCCAAAGGGGGAGGAAGAGGAGAGAAGGCAAAAGAGAAGTGGAGAACCGGACTAAGAGGAGATAAAGGGAGGAAGAAGCGGAGGTACAGGAGAGGAGAAGATGTACCGAGCTGACAGGCAGGTGGCGAGGGCAGCGACTGGGTGTGTGTGTGTGTGTGTGTGTGTGTGTGAGAGAGAGAGAGAGAGAGAGAGAGAGAGAACATAAAAAGACAATGACAACTATCAAAACAAACAAAAAATTAAGTCCAGTTCTGACATCTCAGGTGCAATTACTGCAGTCCTTACCGGGCCTGAACTGGATTATAACCCAATTAATGCAAGTTACCTAGCAGTAGCCTAGATACTGAACCAGGCTAGTCAAAGAGTCTTTGGTCCTATAAAGACTGCTTGTCATGTACCAGTCCAGGCAAAATTTTAAACCACAAATCAAAGTAATATGCAACATCTAAGTCACCCCTTAGACTAATAATTTGCATGAAACAAACCTTATTGCCATATGATGCAAATTCAGAACTTAGTAGCCATAGGTTCTTTATGCCCAAATGTACATCTATAACCTCATTGTTCTCAGTTATAGGATGTTTGGGCATCACAATCTCACTCAAATCAATACCCTCACCAATTCACCACAGGAAACCATAATCTTGGATTTTAACGTGGGACTAACCTGAGAAAGTTTGATTGTGGGATGTGTCAATCCACATAAAGACCTACAAGAGGTGACACCATCCATGATGATCCAATCAAACACTATTCCAACAAATTTATGAAACAAGTCTTGCCATAGCTCTGCTTCACCCCGTGTTATTAGTAAAGTGGCTAAGTGGGTAGGAGAGAAGTCTAGAGAAATTGATAGTACTATATTTAAAATTTGGTATACTGGAAAAGTTAAAAGAAAGAAATGATGTAGAAATCATTATTTGTAATGATCTTAAAAACAATATTGTAGATGTGAAAAGATTTGAAGATAAAATTATAATTCTAAAATTTGTCTTAGGAGAAGAGGTTTTGAACAAGTGTTTATGCCCTCAAGTATCAAAAAAGAATTTTGGGAAAACTTAAATGATATAATTCAACGAATAGCTATGTATGAAAAACTTATAATTGGAGGACATTTGAATAGTCATGTTGAAAAATATATGATGAATTTAAAGAGGTACATGGGATCTCAAGATTATAAATACTCACATCAAAAAGAGAGATAAGCTTTTGATTGCTAATAAGAGTGGTCACAACAGCAGTCAAATAGACTTTTCTTCGCACTAGAAAGCAACGATTTAAAAAGGCGCTCGGGCGCTCGCCTAGGCGCTCGGGCGAGGCGAGGCGAGACCTGAGTGCCTCGCTAAACATCCAGGCGACGCGCTTCAAAGAGGCGCCGCCTGGGCGCTCGCCCGAGCCCAGGCACTAGGCGCTTCGGGCGAGCGCCTGGGTTAAACCGGGCAACCAAACCAGGATTTTAGGTCTGGTTCGGTCCTAGTTCGGTCTCCGGTGGTTAGTTGGTTCAATCGAACCAACTAAAACCGATATCAGCGACAACCCAACCCTAACCCTCGTTGCCGCTCCCGATCCCGATCCCGTTGCTCGTCGCTACCGCTCCCGCTCCTGCTCCCGCTCCCACTCTCGCTCCTACTCCCGCTGCCGCTGTTGCTGCTCGCCGCTGCCGTTGTCGCCGCTCCCACTGCCGCTGCCTCTGCCTCCTTACACTCCGCTCCCGCTACCGCTGTCGCTTCCTCTTTTCTCAGTCAGCACCCCCTTACACTTCCTTCTTCTCCTTCTGTTAACAGTATACAGTATACTGTTAATATTGTTAGGTTAATTTGAAATTATTAATTTTCAATACTATTAATATTTTAAATAATTATATTTATTAATTATATTATATATTTTTATATTTTAACGCCTCGCTTCGCTCGAGCAAGCGCCTAGGCAAGCGCTTAGCGCCTCGGGCGTTTTTGGACATTGGCACCTTTTGGCGCCTAGCGCTTTTTAAATCATTACTAGAAAGTTAGATAAAGTTATATGTAAGAATTATAAAGTTATACCCAGTGCAAGCTTGAGGAATTCATGTACGTTGATGGTATTAGATTTTTGTTGTAGAACATGAAAGAAAAATGATATTAGAAAAATTTAGACTAGATGATGGAATTTTAAAGATAATATTATAATTTTTTAAAAAATAGGATGGAAATATATGTAACTTGAAACTTAGATGGGATAATATTAATATTCTTTAGAATACCCAATATAAATATGAGCTTAACAAAAGGGGTTTTTGGTAAAACTAAAGGTAGAGGTATAGCTTTATGAGAGAGTTGATGGTGGTGTAACGAAGTTCAAAAAACAATTATTAATACTAAAAGATCATCCTTTAAATATTGACAAAATTATAAAAAATGAGAAAAAATAAAAGATATAATCTAAAAAAGAGGATAAAAGAGTTGTTAGTATGGCAAGATATAAAACATGATAATTTTTATAACTAAGGATGGAAAAAAAATACATATTGAATTGTTAAAACAAGAAAAATAAAGTGTAAGGATTTAGTTAATATTAGATGCATTAAAGATGATAATCAAAGAATACTTATTAATGATAATGAAATTGAAGAAAGATGGAGAAATTATTTTTATAAATTATTTAATGAATATTCTACAAATGATAGCTTTAGCGATAGACAATAGTTGTAGATTTAATAATCATAGATTTTTTAAAAAAACTTAGTTACCTAAAATTAATTTGATTTTATGCCTGGAAGATCAATAAAAGAAGTTATTTATTTATTAAATAAAAAGTATGGAGATAAAAAGAAAGATTTGCATACAATTTTTATATGACTTTTATTGATTTATAAAAAGCCTATAATAGAGTTCCTAAAGATTTATCATGATATATTTTAGAAAAGAATGATTTATTGACTAATTATATTAATTTATAATGGATATGTATGATAATATAACTACTAGTGTTAGAACTACATAGGGTTTGTCTAATGAGTTCCCATTAGACTACATCAAGGATCCCTTACCTTTTTCACATTGATAATAAATATTCCATTCATTTACCGAATACACTCTCCAGTGTATAGTAAGAGTAATGTATTTGTCAATGATATTGTCTCAATTGATCTAATACTAAGCTTGAGTTATGGATGTAATTCTCATAAACTAAAGATTTTAGATTAGGTAGAACTAGAACTGAATACATGAGATGCAATTTTAGTAATATTAGGAATAAACGAAAGGATATAGTTAAATTGGATAGACAAGAAGTTTCATTAAATAAAAGTTTTAGATATCTTAGATCAACTATTCAACGAAGTGGAGAGATTGATAAAGATATAATTCATAGATTAAAAAATAATAATTACAAATTTAAAATAGCCAAAGATGTCAAGAGTCTTGTGTGGTCATCACCTTTGAGGTTAAAAAAAAAAATTGTAACGAGTAAGTGGCGTAGGTAGAATTTGAGCTCAAGACCTTGCAATAAACTTTCAAAGTTTTTACTAGCTAAACTAGCAGACACCTTCACACATACTCTGCGACACCAAGCCACTTACCCACAATGTCAAAGTCCTCTAAAAGTTGTCTTATAAAAGAAAAGTTTTATAAGACAATCTTTAGAATAGTAGTGCTTTATGGATCTATGATGGGTAGTTAAAACACAACATACAAAAAGTTTGTGTCGTTGAGATGAAAATGTTAAGGCAGATATGTGGAGCTACAAGGAAAGATTAAAAAAATATTTTTATTTATGAACAATTAAGTATCGATTCAACAGAGGGTAAAATGAGGAGAATCGTCTAAGATTGTATGAACATGTACAAAGGAGACTAACAAACGCAATAGTTAGAAGTAAAATGATTACTACTGGTGGAATGTGACAGGTGGAGAAAGACCTAAAAAGGCTTTAATGAAAACTACAAATAAAGATCTAATACTCTGAACCAAGGATCGTCTTTTCAAGCATCGAACTCGTTTTGGTGATCTAGTCAGACTGATACATACCGATCAATATTGGTGTACCATGTGTCGATACACGAATATGTACCATTGTTTTAGAGGAAGAAAAGGAAAAAGAGGAAGGGGCGATGGAGAAGGTAGGAAGGAGCAAGGAAGAAGAGATAATCGAGGACGAGGAAAGAGAAGAGGCATACCTGAGAAGCAATTAAGGCAAAGGCCATGCGTAGTGGCGATGTGCAGCGAGATCGCTGCAAGCGGAGGTCGTCGTGTGTGGTGAGGTCATAGCCTGCGTGAGAAGCGAGGTCAGTCATAGTAAGAAATGGAGGTCGCGGCTACATGAGAAGTGAAGGCTGCGTGCTCGAGAAATGAGAAGTGATTAGCGTTGGGAAATTTTCTCTTTTGTATGGGTGGACCGAGTTGAAGGCGGTCCATGTACCAGTTAATGCCAGGATCGATACGTAGTGCCTATTTCGTACTAGTTCAGGCAAAACGCCATTTATCACTTTGAAGTATACCATTTTACAATCTAAAAAATAGCGGCACACAAGGAACTCTAACCTTCATGAAGATGTGGAGAGTTCATACGATGATATAATGCATTCTAAGACTATCTTGATGTCATTTTTTGAGCTAAGGTTGTGACCACAATATCAAGTACATGCTTGACATAGGTACGAGTAGTGGAATGCCGTATAGCTAGCACATTTCACAATTTGTACTAGTACCTCGATCCTTGGGAAGAGACTAGTGAGTAAGGACTTATATCCAACATCAAATCTAATCAATGAATCTAAAGATACAATCATCTGTAGTAGTGAATTTGACCTACACCATGTGAACCTGATTTAAATAGTTTTAATCAAAGAATGCCATTTCGCCCAGACTAGTACAAAACGAGTAGTAGTATTTGCCAGTCTGAGATTGAACTGAGTCTGAGATTGAACTGGTATATGGATGGCCCCCATTTAGGGCAGTCTGATTCAGCCATATAAAAAGACTTGCATCTTCTACACTAATTGCATCTCCTCATATTCGCACAAGACCCATCCCGAGATCCTCTGTAGCATATCACCTATGGGGAACGCACCTCTTCTCCTCCTCTTCCTCCTTCCTCCACCACCTCCTCCTCCTCCTTCCTCTTTCTCCTTTTACTCCACTCTCCTTTTTTGCTCTGAGTCACTAGTACGTACTGATCTGGCGATGAATAGATACCTGGTACCCAAAATTGGTACCCGAAACGGTGTTCCTTGGTTTTAATTCATAATAACTATATAAAAAATGGTCCAGTGAGATATGGGCCAATGTAAGAAAAGTTGCTTGGAGATCTTAAAAACATAAAGAACATCAATTAGCCTATTTAACTGCATATGAGTTGATTCAGGCTTTTGAACTTGATATTTTCTGTACATGACAAGAAAGGGTGACTTAAGGATTAACATGTTTAAATTTATGCTAAGTACTCATTCTCAAACAGAATAATGAACAGATCTTAGGATATGACCTTTAAATTGATTCAAACATAGTAACTATATTGGAAAATTTAGATCCAGGACAATCAAGAAAGATTAATGGGTTTAAGGGTACGTGGATTAACTATGGACTTTCAAACCCATAAAATGAGATCAACAAATGACTCTCCACTTGCCAATGTAATAATCAAGGTAGATAATAAGTAGTAATGTTGTGATACGAAGAGAGTAAGAGGTGATCCTTAAGATTTAGTTCTAATAAAAGGAATTTGACATGGAAATTGAACCTAGTATCTTGGCATGAGCAAGGGTACTTAGTCGACCCAAATAAAAATACACTTTAGACCTAGGTTCGACAGTGAATAAGTGATAGAACATAAGACCTAGGTTGCATGGGGAATAAGTTATAGAAGATAAAATCTAGGTATCTATACATGGAACAACTGTGGAAGACACATGACAAGACATAGCATATGACATGTTTACTCCTATATTTTGATGATCAATAACTCAACTAATGAGTTGGCAAGATAAATTGTTTGAAAAAAGTTGCAGATTACGGAGTCAAAATGATCTCCGAAGAGATTCAACTCATAGAAAAGACTTCAAGAAGTGTGAAACATGGACAACAGTCTCAAAAAGCCCGAACTGGGCTAGGCCTATCCTAGGTGGTACCCATCAAGCAATGGTACGCACTAGGCCAGGCAGTAGTGGCACCTAGGAAATGCCCAGGCAGCAATACCACCTGACAGCACCGATAGCACCAGTGGTGATGGTGCATGGTTGTTCCACGATTATTCATAGATTTTGAAGTACTCTCACACTTTCTCTCACAGCAAAGGAAGGCTAGGGCTTTCATTAGTATCCCCACCAGCTGAGTGGCCTTGCAGCACAGGAATGAAAGTGAACTCGAGTATTCTATGTGCAAGAGAAGCATGAAAATTCTTTTGTCAAGCTTCTTTGAATTATAAAATTCTTTAGCTCTCTCACACTATTTTAGGTGCCCATGAGGATAAACACAAGGATAGGAGGACTTGGAGACAATACATATCAAGAGTCAAACTTCTACTTTATGCCTTTGTGGAATGAAACCTGGAAAAGCATTGAAATGTACAATACATATAGTATCTCCTCAAAACAAGTGATGCCACAGTCTTAAAATGTCTCTATCAAGGTTTACAATTTTGACTGTCGGTACCACCTAGACCATAGAGAAGTGAATCCAACTCTATAGTCCGAGCAGCACAATCAGTATGGTTATCATATCAGGCAATAAGCCCAGTATCAAATGGCACTGAGTATTTTGACCAGTAAATACTGGCCCATACTAACCAATATTCCCGGTTTCTAGACCTTGGACTCTGCAAAATTTACCACCTCTATTGTCAACATATATGCAACCTAGGACACCTCTGAATGAAAATTAGGTAAGGCCCTAAAGAAATATGGGATATTCTCAATATGTTGAGAGAATTCTATTAACTTTATTTACTGATGAAGAGAATATAAATATATACAAGTAATTACAAAGAATAATAATGACAACACTTGAATATTCTGCATGATTGAAGAAAAATTAGAAACCAAAACTGCATGTTAGTAACAATTATGATAACTGGTTGGAATTAATTGGAACAAAAAAATAGTAGAGGATTAATATTCAAATGTTTGGAGTCTTTGGACTGAAAACTGCTCCTCAAATCCACAGGTTGGCTAAGAGTGCTTATTATCAATAACTTCTTTTTTTTATTTATGTTAATCCTAGGAGAAAGCAAGCTTTCTTTAATTGATGTTGTCATGTAAGAAAATATGAATTGAACACTGATGATCAATATGAGATAGAAGCTTGAAGTTGACAATCCAAAGCACTATTTATATCTTCAAAATCTCAGTTCTTGTTGGGAAAAAAGTTGAATTCCAATAAATAATTTATTAAGATATTTATAATATGCAGAAACACAAAAAACCACTCCAAAATTATGTAAGAGTAAACTGATGCAAGTAGTCACAAAGCTCACCCGCAACATTTGCAAAGGATCCCGTGGGCGCATCATTGAGTTTCCTGGGCTACATATAGCACTTGGATGAACATTGACAGAGTTTTGCACCCCCTGACCGCCACTTGAAAGCATGTTTCCAGTGGAAACCATGTTCAGCATGCCTGGGGAACTTATTCCTTGAAATGATGGCCTTGGCAAGGGAATTCCTCGATTCACCCCAGGCATCATTCCCATGCCACCAGCACCAGGCAACATTCGAACACTACGATCAACTCCAACTGATAGAGACCCAGATAAGGACATACTAGATTGTTGAGGATTTCTTCCAGAAAGCATTTGGCTATACTGTTGCATTCTTTGTGGATCATCAACAGGTGAGCTAGATGGTCTTGGAACACTATACCTCTGGGAATCCCTGTGGCAACAATTTTTTATTCTATAAGCACTAGAAGTACATCTCAGAAATCATGTGAGATGAGAAGAATTGGGATATAATCACTAAAAAACCTATTTTTAATATTTGATATGATAGAAGCAAGCTGGAGATTCTAGATCTGAATACCTATAAGAGGAATTCAATGGTGCTGAAGATGGTGGCAAGCTGCTAGTTAGGCCCATCCCAGGAGATCCCTGTAACATGGTACTCACACCTGATGTAGGAAGACTCGGAGGCACAGGACCTTGATGGTTCCCGACTCCTAAGCTACCAGCATGAGGCCCCTGATACCCAAGAGGAAAAGCATCTGGGCTTGAAGAGATTGATTCGCAAAAATCAAGTGGCCTGTACATACAACAATAAAAGATGTATGAAATGATTAAGCCTGCAAAGGCAAACAGGTGAACAAAGGTAAAAAATAAATTAGGGACAGATAGCAAGAATGGCCAAATTAGCTTACGTTAATATTCCTCCATTCAAGTTGTTTGGGCATACATGTGAAAGAGCAACCACATGAGAACTATGAGCTGGTGTCGTTGGCTTCTGTTCCTGATTATCATTCTTCACAAAATACAAAATTTCACAAAATGAGGGTGAATCATAGCATGCTTTAAAAAACCAAGTTGCAAATAGGTTTGTATAGAATTAAAAATATGGTAGCATATTTCACACAGTGATTGCTAACCAATTCTCTGCACCCAAAAACTGGAAGCTACCAAAAACCACAAATTAAAGAAACCAGCTAATGGGTTAGATCAAACAATGCAATTTTAGGTTCTAGTTATTAGCAAATTGTCCAGTCTGCATAATGTTTCCGAGTTGCAGCAAATTAAAGAATAAAAAACCATATTTAGCCGTTTAGCGCATATAAGCAAATTGAAACTAGACAAACGAGATATGATGTTATCATGAATATAAAAAAAGTACACAAACTAGGCACTAATACAAGATTAACCAGAAAAAGGACCTGACGGCTATAGGAAGACAGTTTCTGTCCAAGCAAGATAATCTTCTCAAAATGTGCCTTCAGAATATCCTCTTCCATTGGTCCCTGAAGGCGCTGAAACAATTGTCGTGCACTTCCCTGATGTGCATTACAAGACAAATAATGTTAGATAAGTTTGACAAGGACCAATCTACAGCATAAGTAGAAGTTCATGCCTTCAACAACCAATCAATCAGAAAAAAGGAAAAAACAAAGTGCATATCTCAGAAGCAGTAGCATGAGTTCTTGCCTTTGGAATGCCAGGTAGAGTGGATGGATAAGGTTGGGATGAACCAGAATCTTCCGTGCTGTCAGCCCCATCTCCGGCACTTTTGTCCATCAAAAATTTGTGCCGCTCTTTGCATTCTTTAGGCTTACGGAAGATACACTGACATACAGATGCATTATTATCATGAATCCATGAAATTAGGTAGCAAGGATTTGTGAAAAAAGTAGAATTTTCTAGTGGTAAAATGAACTGAATAAAAGAAAAAGAATGCACCAGGAAACACTATTGGTCTTGGAAGACAACTGTTTAAGAAAGAAACAATAGTGACAAACGACAAACTTTTTCATGAAATTCTTTGAATGAAGATAAAAAAAGGGGAAAAGTTTGTCCACAAGTGATAATGTAAACAAACCAAACAGAGAACTGAAATTTAAAAGGTAAAATGAAAAAAAATAACATCATGGTTCTGATCAGGAAGACCTGAAAATCAATAAAAGAAACCAACCATGCAAAAACATTATTATAGCAGCACAATATAGGATTCATGCAAAACTGGCATCTCGAGCATGGATTAAAAAACACGGATTCACCTTGAACTGGAGGGTGCTGTTGATTGCATCACTAACTAGCTCCCAGTTTGGACCCATATCATGAACAAGGACAACAAGTGCCTGGTATAAGCATGACACAATAATCAAAATACATTTTAGATGACAAAGATAACAATGCAAATGACAACATCAAAGCAACCTGGTCCTCAAAATTTGACCATAGACTTCCAGATCCAGACTGTCCAGCAGCCATCTGCCACATGGAAGAAGACTTTCAGGAATCAAAATTAATACAATCATCAAGCTAAATATGGACAACCAACTCATTTCATGTCATATTTTCATAATGATGCGAATAAAAAAAAGTTTTTTTTCCTTTTTATTTTCTCCACTATGAATACTGGACATCTAAATAGAAGATACACACTGGAACTAACTTTACCCAAGTACACGTCATAAACACATAGACAAGTAGGCATTGAACTCCAAGATGAAAGCATAAGATTTAAGAACCTCAGTGAATCCTGAAAGACCTAACTATACTCTGATACAAATGATGCTGCCACCAAAAAATCAAAATGAAAAACAAAACTATAAAAAAAAGAAAAAAAAACTATACCTTCAATGCTTTACTTTTTCTTACACGATCCCGATTAGCAATAAGTTTGACGAGCTTATTTGAATTGGACATATTACTCATCTGGGAATCAACCGGTGAAGGCAATGAACCGGCCACAGGGGTAAGTGCCTCAAGCGAAGCCTCCAGCGGTTGCTTCAGAAGTTTTGGCTTCTTGGCAGCATGTTGACCGTAAACAACTGTAACCATGTAACAAAGATCCCTTTTTAGGAAATCTCAATGTAAAATAATGAAAATCATTTGTCAAATAATGTGAAGTATTTAAATGATCTTATATATATAACAATAGTCAAACTCAAAGAAATTACCAGTGCCTCCATTTGAGTCAAAATTTTGTGACTCCATTCTCTTCTTAACATGTTCCTTCTGAAACCCACAGGGAAGCATATAAAATAGAGTAAAAATAATAATCACGCACAGGCCTTGACATACGGTATTTATTCTAGCAAAATAAACCACACAGCAATAGAAAGAAAAATCAGATCGAAAACAGAGAATAAAATATCAGAAATGACAGCTACACAAGACATTAAACACCCAGAAAAACCAAGTAGAAGAAACACTCTTGGAGGAACTCAAGACCTACATGCGATGCTCCCTCCCTTAAGATGTGGCATCACAAAACCTTGTGAACTAATTAATGGCATATTGCAAACACAAATTACCTGTTCATGCTGAATCACAGGATCAACATGCAACCTTTGCTCGTACGAGCACCCCTGGATTGAAGCCTGATACATTGCATAGTATCACTTTACCCAAAAAAAAATTGCAAAAAAGATGCTCAAGCACAAAAGTCTTTACCTTTCCAGGAACAACTAAAAGATCAGGATCAGTCAGGTTTAGTGAATTCTTGTAGCCAAAATTATTAGGCTTCTTCTTCTTCTTTTTAGATGTTGAGGATATTTCATTACCATCATATTGCAATTGCTTCTCAAAGTCCATTGTAGACCCAACCCCTAAGTTTTTCCTTTGCATATATCCACCATGCAATGAATCCTGGTCATCTTGGAAAGAACTTGTATCTTCACTTGATACATCTGTTTTAGTAGTCACTTGCAGGGGCCCATTAACTCCACAAGGATAAGGACTGACAACCCGTTGTCGAGTAGCTCTCTTTACACGTTTTGTCGGAATTGAACCAACACTAAAAGTATTTGAAGTTCTTTTACCATTCAATATAAAAGGTTGATTTCCTGATTTGATTTCCAAGCGAGGTTCATGAGACAAATGGGTACCACTTTCATTGAGTCTTGCAACAGTAGATTTCTGTCGCATGTGTTTTTGCTTTTTGTGAGAAAGTTTCGATGACAAGCCACCTTCAAAAGTTCCAGGAAGGAGATAGGTGCCTGTTTCACCTTCATCCTCATCATATATATTGTCCTGAGTTCCACCTGCTTCAGAACATATATACTGTGAGAAGCTCTGCATGATAAAAATCAAAACGAGAACTTGACAATCAGGATGATTACCTGCCACAGAATTGTTAGATGTCTCACAATCGTCCTGATGCAAAGTGTTACCAAATTTCTGGCATAATCAATCAAATAAATACCTGAGGATTAAACTTTAACATTGAATTTAAAGAATACGTATTTTAAGATGATTTACATGATAAACAAACTAATGCAAATATCTGTCATCCATAATGAAAAAAATTTATCACCCATTTGGAAACTCTGAGATTGTGTGTCAAACGTCTATGAAAACATAAGCAAAAATATGAGGCAGCAAGTGTTTGCCCTCATATGTTTCCAAATGAGTATGTTTTCTTTAATATGTCTTGTGTTGACAGGTAGTAGCCTTCGATGAGAGGTAACGAGGGACTGTACAGCTTGTTTAGATTTTACATGATGAAACAAACTAACAAAAAGTTAGAACAAAGACTCAGGGCCATAGTGGCCTAATTGAAAAGTCAGAAGTCCCCTACTTTGGTTCAGATGTATCAGCCAACAAAATTAGTCTCAAGTTAAAAATGTTAAACTACTCATTAAAACGTTCAAGTTATCACATAATCCTACTTGGAATTAGAATGACCATGTCAAAGTATAGAAATGTCGAGATAATTTTAGGTAGTGTCCCTCATGAATATAACAACTGCAACAAATAAAAAAAGGAAAAAAGAAGCTTTTCACTCAACACACAGTCAAATAAGAATGGTTCACTGAGATACCCCCAACTTATTCAATAAACATTCAATAATTAGTGTAATGTATCAATTATTCATCACTTAATAAATGATATATTTGAGTTATTAATTTGTGATACTATTAGTTCACTGATGGTGGCAACAAAGATGTTGATAGGTTTATTGTAAAACCAGTCAGATGAACATATCTAGGGTGATGCTCGGCTCCATGTTAAGATTGCTACATTACCAACTAGGTACCAAATGCTTGAGTTATGTAATCTGTCTTCATGCAAGTCAAGGCTCCATGTTTGATTGATCCTTGCCAAATCCCATATTGAAGGCAGCCTCGTGCACTGGCCACCTTTTAACTAAAATTTGTTTCACCCAATCCTAAAAGTTTTCTTAGGTTAAGAGCAGTAACATGCGTCCATGCCCATTTTTATCATTGCAAATTCTTTAAATTTTTCTTAGGTTCGAAAAATATTTTCCAAAGATAAATCATTTCCAGTATACCAAGTGTTTTATTATGCTCCTCATAAGTTACATTTGCTGGATAATATTATATATATATAACACCATTTACTGTGACAGTAAAATAAATGAAAAGGGCAATAAAAGACAAACAAAAGAGCTTACTTTGCAGTGCAACCACTGAGACTCCATAGATTCTCTGTATGCCTGCATTGCACCAGGAGGTATTGTGTAGAAAAGACTTTCCTGCAGAAGAAACCAACCAGTATCATATGAAAGCCAAAAAATCAAATGTCAGTACAACTTGCATGCTGTATGCTAAAGTAAGGCAGAACATATGGACAAGTGATACTGAGACACAATCAAGAAGTACAATAAATACAATACTTGCATGATGTAAGAAGACTTTCCATAAGTACAATTCCAAGATACAGCAAAATGTCATACGAAATATTTTCTCTACATGATAGGAAAGAATCTAGTTCATACTTCTGAAAGTGGATCTTCCCAAGGTATTTTTAAAATGGTTGCATCATTTTGTCTCTTGGGAGCAGTTGGTGCTTCAGCCAAGATGGCATAACTTGCTGTGCTGCTATTATGTTTCAGGAATTTAACTGCATAATCCAGTACAGAAACTCGACCCTACTCAGAAAAAAAAAAACCATATCAGACATCATCCAGGAATAATCAATGTAAATTAATTGTCTATAGTCATGCATCTATGAAGCACAAGCATTTAAAATGTTTGCCACATTCATGACAAAGGACACCAGCACTACATAACATGTAGTTCAAACATATAGGACACTTGTACAGTATACATATATTAGTAATAATGTATTGTATACATATTAGACACTTAATCATCCACATTAGAGTTCAAGGTATCGAACATTGACTTGTGTGTAATTTGGACTTTTGACTTCCTCCTTAATGTTTATATGTGTGTACCTAGTAATTTTGTGAAAATTTGCTACTTCTATGAATGGTTGCTATGCTTCTTATAAGTTTTATTTATGTTGATCATAGATTGTCTACATAATACAAAGTATAAATTTACAGTAACATATGATAATATACATGTATCACTCGTGGCCATGCATGTGGTGACCTACTTATATAAGATTTGTCATGTCGGCGTGCCCATATCATGTCATTACAATGTCTATCATAGGTTACAATGAAATGCTTCACATTCCAATACAACTCTGATTTGGCTATATGCACCTGGTACATGGTGCCCATACCAGCTGCCACAGACCATTATTTCATGGTGTAATAGCCAACCAAGATATAGACCAAGCGGCTCCATCCAATTTGGTCCTGTATGAACTGTATTACCAGTAAACTTCATCATACCAGGCTTATTGGGTGGTGAGAGTCTCAATTTGAACTAGGTGGTCAGTCTATCATCTAACATCGGCCGCCATTTTTTATTATTGACAACCATCATTTTTTTTTTCTTTTTTTCTGCCTCTCTCTCTCTCTCTCTCTCAACCCGGCTCTCTTTCTCACCCTCTTCATCCATGCTGCATCACCACCTCCTCCACCTCCATTATCTCTAGCAGAAAGAGCTGCTATTATTAATTGAACAGTGATGTTCAAGAAAGATAATTGACAATAATAAGGGTGCTGCAGAAAAAGAACAGGACACTTACAAACCTTTTTTAAAAGAAAATAGCAATCAGTGTGCTGTTATACCAATAAACAGCAAAGAAAAAGGATTTAGAGTAGTAACCAAGAATGACCAGGGAATGACAATGAGAAGGGTGAGGTGTCAGGCCATGAGCAAGGCAAATTGAGAAGGGTGAGAAGTATCAGACAAGAACAAAGATAAATTCATAGTTAATCAACATAACTAGGATGCTAAAATGGAGAAAACTGTATAATAAAATTTTACTTCTCTAATCCATCAAATCACATCTTCCAAAACTTAATTCCTGATCACTTTAATCTCCCAGCCAGTTTAGGTGTACCGTAGTTCTAAATGGGACCCTTATAAGATTTCCAAGGCAGACATTAAAAGATTAGCACTAAATCATCTGATAATCCCAAGAAAATAACAACATAGTTCCAAGCTTAATTTAGCTCAAATTAATGAAACCAAGACTTCAATTGCTTGCAGCCATTACGTCCCTCCAAAATAGACACATTTCATAAAGTAGATTAACCCACACCCAAGATTGCCAAGCCATGTAGCTCAGCCAAACAAAACCTCATTTGTACTTCGAATGAATCATGTAACAGCACAGGAAGATTAGAACTTCTAGGACAAGCACAACATATTTCACCAGAAATTATGTAAAATCTGATGAAGGAACCAAGCAGGCTAACCTCCAAGCACCAAGAAATAAGTGGTTTAAAACTACTCAACCTGGCAGGTATGATGAGTTTCCATATCCAATATAGCTATTTTTTTGAGCCATTTATTAGCCAACCTGCAATGTTTGATCCTATGAAGTTTGAGTCCTTCAAAATGCTTTTTGAAGCAATCTGACACTCCTGCTACAAATTAAGCATCAAAGCTGGTGAAACAACAAAAAACTTTCTTTTCATCCTAAGATGCTAAAATGGTCATTATCTACTAAGCAATAATTATGATCATAGATATTTTACCAATACAAAAAATCTAGAATCCCTGACGAGTGAAGTGTTGGAAATGAACATCCACATAAGGGTAAAAAGGATCAAATATTACGGCAAACTTTTCATAAACTAAATTCACAATTTAAAAGCACTAAAATGTTTATATAATTATAAAGATTTATGATAATATAAATCCAAATGGGATAGAAAAGGAGGCAAATCCTAGTTACACCATTAAAAGAAGGACAAGCCATGGGTGTTGAATAGTAAAAATACAATTAAAAATTCCTCTCTCGTGACACTTCAATAAACATAGACTATAAGCTAGAGGAGAAGAATTATATTTTGACAAATTTCAAGTAAATAAATAAAAAACAGAATCAGAAATTGCAAGAAATATAAAACATGCAATCAGATTTTCACAACATAAATATATGTGGATTATTTTTGTGAAAATATAACTATTCTGTTATGCAAGTAAAATTCACGAAGTCCAACAATCTGAGAATAGAAAAACATACAAGAAAAACAACCCAAAAGATATTCCGAAGTAAACATGTGAAGTACAACTTAACTGAAAGTAGAAAGATGTCAAAAGCTAGCTTCTGCAACAAGGTAATGTTCAGAGTATTAAGCATGAACCATGTCATCCCTACTCAGATTCCACTTCCATAATATTACCAACATAAGAATATCTAGTGCCAATTTCTAACCTGGTTTCTCTCTACCTCAGTCCCATTGACATTTGATAGCCTAAGCCTATCTGATTCACACTTGTCATGCACTGCATTAGGTGCCATGTCACCAGTATGAATGACCTCAGCTTCATTCCAGAAATGCATAACAGCCTTGGCCACACTTCTAGCAACATTTTTCTGCTTGCGCCATATGTTTACCTGTTCAAACTTTTCTTGACCACAAGAAGCCCATCGAGAAACTTGGGCAGCAGCTGAAATCTTCCACAACCTCTCCTGTTTACATACAATTAGTTAAGGGATAAAACAGAAGAACGAGGAAATAGGCAAAAAAAATAACAACTAAATCAAAACACGTGAAAAATGTAGAAACAAACTCAACAAAAAAACATAGGTCAAAAAATCTAAATGTGAACCACCCATTGCAAATTTGAATCTACAAAATAAAAATAGACAACATAATCAAATCCTGTATGGGGAGTTCATACTGGACCTGCATGAAATCATTTGCCATCCATGCCATTTCCTCAAGCACAAAATCCCAATGACATTTTTGTCGCTTCTCTGAACTTTTATAAGAGATTGACAGCTCCGCAGCCCTTCTAAGCCTTGCCTGAGAAAGAAAATTGATAGGAACTTTCATGATAAATGTTCTCATTATTTGGAACATATTCCATTAAAACATCTGAACAAACCTCTATTAATCTGGCTTCTTTTAATGTAGCATCTTCATGTGCCTTTTTGTGATCTAATGCAGAAGTCTCAAGCTCAGTAGTAGATGCAGAGCTCTTAGACACAAGGATGGCTTCTGAAGACTCGCAAGTTGAGGAAACCAGAAAGCTTGCTCCGATACCAGCTTTCCTTGTACAATTTGAATCACCTACAAAGTTATTCATATTCTTTTCTGCCTCACAAATAATTTCATCATTCAGCTTCACAAGTTCAGCGTTGGTTATAGGTGTGACTTCACTCTGCATCTCAGTTCTACTGTCACATACTTCATTATTAATCTGAACAACTGAATTGTTGACGTCTGGTTGAACTGACCTAGATCTATCATTAGCAGTAATGGGGACATCAGCATCAACAGGCTTATTTTCTTTCAATGTGCTGTCATCTGGCATGGACCAGATTCCTATATTTGTTTTCTGGTCTTTAATGTCTCCATTTGAACTACCATCAGTCCTCAACATCAAAGACTGATCACCGTCAGTATTTTCATGAATGTTACAAGTACCATCTACACAAGTATTTGCCTCTGTGATATCTGCATTTAAGTTTTCAGTAGTAGCGTTAGCAACAAAAGTTTTATGACTCAAATCATCATCATGATCGAAACAATGTGTACTTTTTTCTGGAATACCACATTTGTTGATAACTTCAGCACCACACGGATCTTTCTTACTCTCATTAAACTCCAGAGGGTTGGATGATAAACAAACTGAAAGAGCATCATCCTTTCCAATAATATCACAGGATTGTGGTAAGGTACCATTAGAAGCTTTCTCAGCAAAAGATGAATGTCGATCGCAGATGTCATTTCCCTGAACATTTTCAGTAATCTTGAGTACTTTTCCACCCTCAGGCAGTCCATCTATCATCATGTCAGCACAGATGTGATTATTTTGTACCAAATTCAGCTGCATATCGACTAGACCATCTGTATTTAAAGCCTTTGGTATAATACCTTCCGGGCTCGCTGCCTTTGAGTTTGAAATGGAAGATACAGCATGGTCTTCTACTGGCAGTCCTGATACAGACCCTTTTGTAACCCTAGGACAAGGCATGTAGGAAGACATAAAGGATGCTTTATTGCCATGACGAGAACTGGAATCAGTTAAACCTAAATTGGCACAATCACGACTGACTCTGGATCTATTACGCCGGGCATATGCCTGACTTTTAGCCCCAACACGGAAAATAACAGAGTCTTCTGTTTCTTTCACATTATGAGAACCATCAACTTGAGAAGATTGTTCTGAAAGAACAACACTACCTCTTTTACCTTTATGTTTAGCATTTTTCTCCCCATGCTTGTTGTTTTTCCCATCCAAAAGCAATAAATTGTCTCCAATATTAGGTTCACGACCAATAGAACCTCCAGGTCTCCCACTGCTTTCAACGGAATCTCCATGTGGTGAAGCAGCCAATGTGAAGCTACCTTTTGCTTCACTGTCAAGCAAAACCACAAAAAAAGAAGCATGAAAGATATTAGAAATTTATGTTTAATAGTAAACAGATCTTTTTTTAACTCCAATCGGTCAATGAACAAAACCTGGTAACATATGGCTCAGCAAGTTGATCTGTATAAGAAGTAGATTGTACACTGCCTGAAGCTGCACGACTAAATTTAAAATCCAATGGATTCCCCCCCTACAACAATCAGAAGAGGTTGACAACATAAAAAAAAATGTTGAAAGGTAAAAATCAAATTGATAAAATCAGCAGGACAGATCAACAAGCACTAAGATACTGATGTGGAGTTACTTTCTCAAGAAATTCCAATTCCCTTCTACGCTCTTCACGTAAGTCAAATTCTTTCCTGTAGTTATTACAGAAAGTTAAATAAGTCTAGGAATCTAAAGACTGCGCTCATAACATAAATTTGTGTCATTATCAACATACTGAAGTTCAGCCTGTGCCTTCTCGATTGATGCATGACGTGGTGAAGTTTTGGTGTCTACACCAAGTCCACAATCTACAACACCTCCCATGGGCGTGATCTCTGCATTTAGCAAAAGAGAAAACCTTGGGCTATGCCTATGCGTACTTGTATCTCATGCCTTTTGGCGCATCAGGAAAGAAATAGCTCAAACAGTAGTTCAGACATTTCCACAGAAGTTCTGCAAACCAAAAGAAGATTAATGTCAAAGATATGTAAATAGAAAAAATAAAAATAAATGATGATCCAATAATCACAAGCAAAGGAAAAAAACAAAGTGCCAAAGGCTTAAATACCTATAGATAATTACAATAAACTATAAAGAAAAACAAGTAATATTATATCCAAAGAATCCAAATGCACACATGTAGTGTATTGCTCTATACTTCTACCGTAGGACTAGCTAACTGCCACATAGTACATAGTTCAATGGGATAAATCTAAAAGGCTTGCCAAAAGGTTTGCCATAACTACACAACCCACAGAATCTACAAACTGATGAGATATAGAAAAAGTGTAACTTCTGTTCCACATCAGAAAGGTAAACAGGGATACCTTAAAGGCTATGTAATGATCTCAAGATTCTTGGGTTTTGGCATTCAGCTAATATTAGCTTATGGCCAGCAGAACAAACAGATTCAGACTGCATGAACCAATGAACTAAGTTTGCTCTGATTTGCTACTTTGAAATGAAGCCAGCATGCTACAAAAATATAGCACGCTATCGAGAATGTACTACATAGAAAAAGCATGGAAAACACAGATCAATCATAAAATATTAAATTAGATTCCTTAATCTTATAATCTTATTTGGACATATACCAATGAGATAAATGGTTAAGTCATATGCTTTCCGTTTTCATGTACATTAACATGTAGCTCAGAACACATACTTTTGCAACTCAATGCTATGAATGAAACATAACAATCACACTAATCTAAGTAATATGGGCAGCAATTGAAGCTTAAATCCTCAAAACAAACTCAAATGTTTTACAGAGCAGCAGAAATCCAAATAAAAGGAAGCAATAAAGTTGTTTAAAGCAAGATTCGTAATTTTGTACCCTACTAGAGTATCGAGTTCAGTTCGGTACGGTACGAGTATACCGAGCGGTACGCTCAGTATATATATATATATATATATATATATATATATA